GAGAGAGAGAGAGAGAGAGAGAGAGAGAGAGAGAGAGAGAGAGAGAGAGAGAGAGAAACGCTACAGGTCCAAACACATTGTTAAAAAAGTAACTCACCTCTGTCAAAATGTACTTCTCACTAACAAAAGGCTGAAATCACCCAGCGAGAAGGAACAGAAAAGATTTCACCTCACATATAATCCGAAATATTTTATAAGATACAACTCTACACATTCTATAGCAAACATTAAATACTCCCACTACAATATGTCGTTCTAGAAATTTGTTGGTGTAAAATATTTTCTATAAACATAAACTCTGTGTAACAAAATTGAAGCTTATTCACAATGAATTCTGATTATTGTGCTGTTTTATAGCAACATAATGTAAATCACAYATTTGATTTCATCCAATGTACAAAATCTGAATACTACTTTAAACATCAAATATATATTTATATTTATTTATACTGGATGTGTACAAAGTGCTTCCTCTAAAGTGTCCTTATAAGCTCCAAATAGCACTTGCCATTTTGACACTACATTAGGAAAAGTTCGCAGTGAAATGGCATTAAAAAAAATCCAAGAAGTAAACATCTGTACAGCTATAGCTTGAATAAAAAAAAGCACCTCCCGATTTCTTCGTTTCACGGTCACTTTTACAAACGCCGTTTCCAACTTTTCCTCAGTTTTATGATTATGTTTCCTATTCCAGTTGCACATTCACAGTCATCTAAAAAAAGAGAGTTGTCTCCTTCCGTTTGTCATCCGTTGTCACAAACACAAGAGTCCAAATTGGATTTTTTTCCCCCAATGGGAAGTAAAACTGTCCTTTCTTTTTTTTACAATAAAAATGATAAACAACTAAATTAAATCAAACTTTCCCATTTTACAGGCATTATTTTTTATCACAAAAACATCGACATCAATGCACAACACAGAAATTCCTGCACACTCTTGACTGAACTCTTTCCACCACAGTAAGGCTGAGTGTAAGAAAAGAAAAAGAAAAGAAACATGCTTCCAAGCAGCAACACTTTGTGACTTGTGTCACTATTGACGTAAAAATATATATACTCATACTTTTTCAGCACTAAGTAGTGAATATATTAAGACATTCTGCAACAGCATTAACTTGCTGGTATCTTCTGCATTAGGCAGCAGCAACAGAGTTTTTTTTCCCATAAAGACAGACACAAAAAGAGAAATGACACACATTTTACAGATTCACATTTTAAAACTGTCATTATATGGCACTTGCTTTGTCTGTGTTTGTTGTGCGGTTGTGCGATATGAAGAACATAAAAAAATCCAACCAGTTAGCTTATTTATAACCAGAAAGAAAGCAAAACAGGCTTATTCCACTGTTTTGTTCACTTTGAAAAGTCTATATGGACACCAGCTTGACGTCAATCAGCAACAATGTATTGTTATGTACCAGTTTTTAGAAAAAAATATATTGTAATGTATCACAAAAAACATGCATGTAAGCCAGGCGCTCCCAGCTTAGACTGCTTRTAATACACATCAAGCAAAGTTAACCTGTTTGTGGCAAGAATTATATCAAAGCTTGGTCACACAGCACTAAAAGTTAAAAGACAAGGAGCCTAAAAACCTTTTCAAAAGGTCTTTCTGCACTCGCTACTCGAGGAGACTCATTATAATAARCAAAGGACAGGCAACAAGCTAATGATGCTAAATAATCTGATTATGCAATCAATTCTCTATAAATAATGCCCCCAAACAAGCAAAGTATGGGGGCACAGTAACTAGAGAAATGCCTAATTACACACAGTTTGGTATCAGAATTTCATTTTTTGGGGCTTATATTATTAGTTTACAGAACAAAGCAAGCCTTTTGATGTGATTTTTTACGAATAATTTTGGCTTGAAATTTGTGGTTTGGGGACAAACAATTTTTAGAACAAAACAATTTACGGCTRCATGAGGATAACAATGTTAGGTACACTATGCAGTTAAAGCAACAGTTCAGATCATTTGAAGTGGAGTTTATCCAAAAATTAATCAACAGCCTTTTGAAAAAATATCAATGTTGCGGTATTCCTGCTGGAAGTGTATGGAGTGGAATACCAGCTGCTATTGTTGCTATTTGATTTTGTTCATTACCACATACTTCTATTTTTATAAATATTTCTAAAACATTCTGAACTTTTCGAGGTTGGAGTTATTTAATGGCACTTTGGTCTTGGCTGTTAGCTCATCAGTCCAGTCAGAACTACCTCCAAACTACAGTCCAAAGAGCTATCTACAACAGGTAAGATAATAACCGTTTATAACCTTTCCACTAAACCCTACTTCAACGTATGAACTATGGCTTTAAGGGGAATGTTTAATACATATTATGGGAACCTGTATATGCATATGTGAATGTTCCTGTGTTTGCACTTGAGAATATTTTTAGAAGAGTGCCCGTGAACAGAATTAACACCCATTCATGTAAACAGCAAAAAAATGTTTGTGCACAACAATGCATGAATGCACAAATTCAACTCATCTGTGTCTATACTGTAGTACCATAATACTAAAGGCMAGGCAATAATACTTCAAATGGCACGTATTACTAAACAGTGTGTGAGGCAAATAGTAAGTATGCGTTGACTAATAGCATCATTTATACACATTCACAGTCTTTCAACTTATTCCAGTTGCTGTCCCTGCAATAACAATACAAAATGAGAAGAGTACAACTCCTACACCGAAAGCCAGTAAGGTTTCGGTTTTAAAAACATGTGAGTGGGCGAGACAGGTTCATGTGTCCCTTTTGTTGACTGACTGAAATGGTGTCCCTTTGAGCGAGGCGCTTGGTACTGCTAYATGTTCTACAGAGCAGCTCCCAGCTGTGAGTTTATCTGGGGTAAATCCTTCCTCACACTGAAGGAGCTGCACCTCWGTGCTGTATGTGATCTAGGTTTTGTTGTTGTTTTAACAAATCTTAGTGTGAGAGGACATATTAGGGGTGCAACGATACAGAAAATTCCCGATTCGGCTCGGTTCAATATTTTAGTCTCAYGGTTCGATATTTTTTCGATACAAAAAAAGGAGAAATTTCCATGCCCTGCTTAATTTGTAATTTACTGGCATTAATTATGAACATTTGTTTTAACCACAAAAGTACAGTTTTTAAATTAAATGTTGCCGAAACAGCAAGTTCCTCAGTGGATCTGCGCTCCATAATGAAGCCTAGGTGGAGTAGTCGAACACAGATCCACTGAGTCTTCAACACAGAGCACCTTCAGAAGACAAGTTGATAAAATAAATTTAAAAAATCTGTACTGTTTGATACTAGTGCATATTGAACGACTCCATACAGATACATGTATTGTTGCAMCCCTAATATGTGTGTGTGTTAGTCTTTGACGTTCAAATAAAGTTAGGAATTAGCTTTTTTTACTTCCCTTTCCATGTGTCCCCACTTTTATGTAGGCTGAGGGATGCTTCTGACTTTGGTTTAATGTTGGCATTTTCTTCACTGCCAACTGTGCAGTTTTCTGGAATTAATTGCTAACCTACTCAATTCCATTGAAATTTGTTAATACACAAAGAAATGTCCTAACGTCATATAACCAATTTTGGCCTTTTAAGTATTTAAAACATGGACATCTTGGAAAAAAACTGCCAGTGAAACAAATCTGCATAGTTTTGTTTAACACTTTGGGTTTTTTTTGTAGAAAAATATAGATCTAAGTACTAATATTAATATCTCAAAGAACTAATGGGATGATGAGATAGAAAACTCAAGAATAAAAAATGTGAGTGATAATACACCTCTGCAGGGACAATGCTGTCCACCTAAGTGGTGCAAAATACATCCTCATCACTTTAGAAGATTAAGACTTGCTCTACGCACACTAAGCTAGAAACGTAAGGCAGCCTAAGACAGTTTACAACAGACCTGATTGTTTTATGTCTTATTACAATCATGCGTGGTGTTTTGGTTTGTAACGTCGCCTTTTGGCTGTTTCTTCATTGATTCCGGGATTTTAGCAGATGTAAGTGTTTATAAAATTGAGATTCAGCTTCATGTATCCACACTGAGCATCTGCTGAAAACCTGCACACACTCATCTGTCCAGTGAGCTCCAAGTTTTTTTAATTTTAATTTTGGTTACCAGCAGAAATCGAGTTGAGGAACTCTAAGCCTAACGACGAAAGGATAAAGTCTGATGATGCTGTTGTTTTAGGAGGAGAGGTTGCCCAGCAGGTCAGGGGTAACGTATCCTACTGGCATAGGGGGTTTTAGGRGATGCTGTGTTAGGCAGGGAGGTGGGGCCTGAGGAAGTGGTGGGTTGAGGAGCAGACTTTGATGAGTGTCCACCTCCTGTACCACTGTGTAGTCTGCAACGGGGGCAAAGAGCTGAGGCTGAGGAGAGTCAGGAAGTATGTAAAGGGGCTGATTTGTCTCTGTTGGTGCTCTAGGTTTGGTCTCCATTGGCTGGAGGAGAATGGTTTGGTAGCCCTCCCCAGGTGTGGGAGAGCTAGGGGGAGTGCTGATCTGCCGGGCGTTGCTCTCCGTGGTGCAACCACTTCCATTCGGATCCACTACGAGAAGCTTCAACTGAGGATTGTCAGTGGCTTTCCTGTCATCCTGTCCTTTTTTCTCCTTCTCTGAGGCTGAGATGTTCTCCTGAAKTCTGGGTTGCTGGCCAGGAGACAGCACCACCCCCCCGGTGGGCATCACGTTGCTGACCTGGGCATATAAATCTGTATTGATCCAAGTCTGAGGTTCTGCATCCTGGGTTTGGACAAGAAGGCTGACACCTGTCTCTGAGGCTTTTTCTCCAGCCTGCATGGAGGCTTCTCCGTCCTCAGGTTGGCCTGGCAGAAGAGAGGCCATCAGCATTTGGGTGTCTTGTTCCGACATATCTGCGTCGTAACAGCTGGCCCGGCCCGAGTCATCGTCAGGGTGACTGCGGGTAGAAAGTATAAACAAAAAAAAGAGAGAAAAAATATTAATCTGTGGCGTAACCTGGCGACATGAAAACAATACATTTACCAAAAAGAGCTTTTGTTTTACCTCATGGTGCTGAAGCAGCCAGCGTTCCTGTGAGGGAGACCGAGGAGCCTCTGGGTGTCTGAACTCTGGCTGTCCTCCTTCTCTCCACATTCTCCATCCTCATCCACTTCAATGAACACCACCCAGGGCTCATCCTGGTAGAAATCTGTTGCATAAGTTGGCAGAATGCCTATACCTCCACTATTCATGATAAAATCCAACTCCTCAAGTTTCCCCTTCTGCATGAGAACAAAACAAAATGTTGTTAACTTCTTATCATCAGAGGCTGTCATGCTCTACGACAGGGACTAGGAGAGCAACAGTGGATCGAGTGCTTAAACCAAATAAGGCACGTGGACACACAAGTCTGTTTTTGATCAAAATTACAATGCTGGAAACAAAAACGTGTTATGCAACACTTTATGTAATCACTTTATTGAACAACAATGCACAAAGAAATCTTGTTGTGGGCCCTTAATGGCTAATGTTTTCAATTTTACCCAGGCTGGATCTTTATGATGCAAATAAGTCTTTAATGGACATAAATAATGTATAAGCCTTTTAAAAGTGGTTATAAAGAAACTCTGTCATTACAACCAGTCTAAAGACCCATGCAAATGTTTGCAAAGCTGAGGTCCAGAATAAATGCCTTCAAGAACAAAATAAAGCACTAGACCTATTAAAAAAACAGAAAGAAAGATACCTTTAATAACTCTGAGTCGATTCCTTTGATTTTGGGTGCAGGAACAGGTGGCAACAGAATCATCATCAATCTGAAAAGACAGGAAAAATCAAATTGCGATCATAGATTTTATTTACTGTGCACCATTTTGATTAAAAAATATATCGAAAACTAAAGATGGCCACATCCCACATAGCAAAATTTGTCTGGCCCCGTTTTGGCCCACACATGGCACTGATACTCTAACACTCAGCCCAGATACTGCAAGGAATGATGGTCCTTATGTGGTTTGCCAGAGGTGGTTCATGCATGGGCCAGCACCACATTAACAGATTTGGGCCACATAAACCAAACCACAACCGGGCCAGTTGTGGCTAATACATAACATACACTAACCTTTAGTGATAAATTATTTTTACCCTGTGTGAATTTCCTGACACTTTGCTGCTGATGCACCCACATTTCTTCACTGAGGGACAATAAAGACAATTTCTTAATAATTCATTTATATTTTTATTAATATGCCAGGCAATACATCTGTCTTAAGAGCATAAAACAAAGTATTTCAGCATGAAAGCTCATATTTTCAACGTGTGACCATGTCAAATATCACAACTGCATCTCTGATGTTTGTAACAAACCAAATCGTGAGGAAAGTTACGATTATTTTAGTTGGAAAAACAGCTTCCTCAGTATAAATCAATGCACTGGGGGCGCAAGAGGGACCCATCCAAGATGGAGGCCCCACTGAAACGTCCGCTCTAATAGGAAGCAAGGTTCTTAAAGAGACAGAGACCAGCTTCATGGTATTTAGAAAGATGTGAAGTGAAGTTTATTTTTGATTTACACATATGAACAGCATTTTAATCACAACCGAAGGTGACATAGTTACTTTATTATGGTATAGATTTGTTCCATATGTCTGAGAAGCTCATAATAATGGCCCTATAATAAATCAAACTTCTGTGGATTCACAACATTTAGTTTGTAACTATCTTGTTGAGTAAAACTGCAAAAATAAAAATACTAAGCAAATCTTGAAAATGATCAATCTTGTGTGTTGCTGTCAGCGATATTAAATTTGAAGCCAAAATTCTCTCTGTTGGATTTGCAATATGTTTTGGACTTTTCTAAATGGACAAAAAGACAAAAAGTCAATGAACCTACCTCTGCTGCTGAGAGACAATGATCATCATGATGAGTATGAGGATACCCACAGTCCCAAATGTAAGAACTAGAGTGAGCGGGACAGCAGATTCTATAAACAAAACAAAAAAAAAAAAAACATACATAAGACTACAGTTCTCAAATTTGAACCATTTATACTGTCTAAATTGAAACAAGTAACACTATTACATCTCACTAACGCCCTTGTAGCTAGCTGCGTTTCCATTGCAAATGTGCGAAAAACTTTGTCGATATTCTGTTAATGTCGAAAAAAAGTTTCGCAATTGCGGTGTTTCCATTAATGCTATTAAAGTCACGCATGAATACATTTGTTCTCGCGATAAGTCATTACAAACATGGCGGCAATAGATGTAAACACATAGCATATTGCTACCACGAGACTAGGACTCATCATCAGCCATCAGAGGAGACGTTGGCGTCTTATCGAGGCTTTCGACCGACCAGCTCCTTATACTTGGGAGCGGCTACGTATGCTGTGTTTTTGGGAATCTGTAGTCGGTGAGTTTACTACTTTCTTTTACTACTTTGGTGATTTTACTACTACTTCTACTTCCTGTTGTCTTCTTCGTCGTCGTCTTTTTCGCCAGTAGAAACAGCCGGTTGTTGATCACGTGACTCCCGTGATGCGAAAAAAGTGTTTTCATTGCAGTTTTGCGAAACACACCAATTTCGACACGGCTGAAAAACCTCCTCATCCTAGTGCAAAAACATTTTGTCGAAAAAAGGAAGTATTTTTCGAAATTGACATGTTTCCATTGAGCAAATTTATTTTCGAAATTCTAATTTGCGCATTTTCATGGTCAATGGAAACGCAGCTTGTGYTATTTTTGAAACAACAAAAGCAGAATGAGGGGCCAAAGTTGATGCACCGATGATATGCATCAGTGGTAGTCACAGAGCTGAATGAGTGTGCAGCGTGTGCAGTGTACCACTCTATATAATAATACAGCTGATTCTGCAATTCCAGCATGTTGTGGCCAAAAGCAGGCAACCTATAAACAAGCCTTGACGAAGATGTTTTTTCWACGTCAATCAATGTGTGAAAAGGGTTAACAAGATATTTCAATCAGTATCCAATGGCACCTTACCTTTGGGGGGAATCTCTGCCACTTTAATGTAGATAGGTTCACTGAACTCCCCAAACTTTTCAAAGGCCTGCATCCTGCAGCGGATGTGCACCTCATACTCTTTTCCAATATGTAGACCGTAAATCGTCTGCTTAGTGAACGGCTGCTTCTCCAACTGAAAGTGACAAGGTTATGAATTTGTATGAAATAAAATAAACATGTGCASTACTGTCACAAAAGCAGCTGCGAAATAAATATTGAAGCTGGCTGAAGATAAAGGATTTCAAGAAGTCTGTATTTATTTTCAGTCCCTTTAACCTTTCCAAAGGTGGTACGACTGCGGGTGTATTTCAGATTCACAAGGTAGAAATCACGTTGCTATGATCGAGGGATCTGGAACTATTTAAAGGGCCGCATTTGTCAAGCAGGGTGGCCAAGCAGTACTAAATGAGGCTGTGCAAGGTCCCATGGCCTCTGACCTACAGATCCCTCCCTTCACTTCCTCCAGCAAGGCTCTGTTTTCTCAGAGGGTCTTGCTTTGGCTTCTACAGCCTCGCCAACTGAGCTAAATTACATTTCAGCCACAAGCGTTCAGGAGGGAGGTTGAATGGGGAGGAGAAAGGAAACACAGCAATCTGTCTTTATGACCTACCAACAATTTTCTTTTTCTTTTAAAAGGTTCTAAAAGTGTTTTAATTTGTGTGGGCTTATGGGTGCGCAACGACCAATTTAGTGCAGTTGGAAAGTGCTTCTCTAAGAAAAAGAAAAAAATGGAGAAATGACTCACTGCTTCCCAGGTTGAGACATTTCTTTCTCTGTACTGGACTTCGTACTCAAGGCGCATCCAGCCCCCCTGAACGTCTGCAGAGGGCGGGTGGTCCCAGGTCACTACAACGTCATAACTCAGTTCGGAGGGACTGACATTCAGCAGGGTCCAGTTCAGAGCAATGGGTGGGTCAGGACGCACTGGGAAAAAAAGGGCAAAAGTTGAGATGTAAACAGAATGAAAAAATGCAGCTATTTTCACTTTTACTTGGTGAAGTTGCTCTTCGCACTCATTGGTTTGCTACTCAATAAAATATATGGGTTTTCCATTTAATCCGTTAACAATTCAAGCATTTCCAAGGGTGTCAAAAGTTTTTGCAGCTCATCAAGTTTTGTTTTAGGYTGAAGGTTTTTTTGATCACAGTTTTTTAAGACTGCTATGATTATTACTGAAATGAGCTTATAGTCCCAGGGTTTGTTGATCATTGTGATTTTGGAACTGCAGAACTTGAACGCCCCAACAAAGCACTGTCAGTGATCTGCAGCTGCATGATATTTGTCCACTTTAGTAAATCTAGTCTTCATTTAGATCAGAGGTGCCCAAAGTGGGACCTAAGCCTTGTGATTTGGCCCACCAGCAGTTGCACTGGTTATAAGGTTGTAATCTGTCACCCTGTGTCGAAATGCTGTGTTTCCACTTAAAGACATTCCATCCAGTGGTCCAATGACTATATAAGTGGGTGTAGTGCATATTCTTCACTCATGCTTACTTTAGCTTTAAATTTTATTAAAATTAAACATAAAATACAAGTAACTAAAAGAGACTTTTAGATTAGATTTAAGCACACATGTAGATTTTCAAACTTTATAAGACCACAAATACTTTTAAATATATTTATGAATTTATGAAATGTCCCATGAGCCTTTGCTGCCTGAGTCAAACTTTCTCAAAGTGCACAGGCTAAAAAAAATGACTGCACTGACTGCTTTCCTCATCATAGAAAAATAAAAAGACAAAGTATTTGTACTTTTTCAGTACRAATACTGTGTGGCTGTGGTAGAGTGGTTAGGGGAGTCGTCCTGGAACCGGAAGGTAGCAGGTTCGATTCCCCATCMAGCCGTTTCAGTCATTGTACCCTTGGGGAAGACACTTCACCCGCCTTGCCTACTGATGGTGGTCAGAGGGTCCGGTGGCACCGGTGCATGGTAGCCTCGCTTCTGTCAGTGTGCCCCAGGGCAGCTGTGGCTACAACGTAGCTTACAATGTATTATGGTATATTACTGCATTTGGCCCTCAGACAGATTTTCATTTTGGCCCTTTTGGGGAAAAAGTTTGGACTTTGMTAAATCATGTCTGACATTACACAGGCACAWTTTTTTAAACTKAAATTAAAGGGCCAATATTATGTRTTTCTCAGGCATACATTTAAATACTATACCATAATAAAGTATATATGTCACCTTTAGCTGTTATTAAAATGCTGTTTTTATGTTTAAATAGAAAATAAACTTATCTTCTCATCACTTCCTCTTCTAAACGCCTTGAAATTGGCCTCTGTCTCTTTAAGAACCACCTTCCGCTTCCATTTTTCCCATTTCAGTGCGGGGAGGGGGTCGCGCTCGCGAGGGGGATGGGGTGGGGCTGCTATGATGCAGTTTACTTGGCATCTGAAAATACATTTCCTAAAATGCATTTTTAATCTGAAAAGAGCTTCACTGAGTGAGAACTAATGTTAGGAGCTCAAAAGACAGTTTAAGTTTCACTTTCGGTTTTTCACCCGAGAGCCTGCAGGAGTCATGGGTGGGCTATGGGGGGAGGGGGGGGTGCTCTTTCATGAGGAAGTTCGGCTTAAAGACACGTCCCAGAGGCATTTCTGTACCAAAATACGTTTTTGGTCCCCACCTGTCGTTTTGCTCCTCAGCATGGCTGCCTAAAATCACTGCAGGATTTCTCAAACATGCATGAATGAGTCAAAGCAAGGCTTGCGGCTGTTTTTTTTTTATGAGAGTATAACCTTATAACATGATATAAAACTCAAAAAAGTTGATTTTACATGATATTGCCCCTTTAAACAATTGCTTTTGATTTTTCTCTTTAGAACATAACACATCTAACATTCTGATATTACAGGTTTTCTTCAACAAGAGACAAAAATAGCTTGTTCTAAGTACCTTTACTTTGCTTCTTATGTAGACAAAACATGATTTTTGACTAAAATATTTCCTACAAAACCTGTGATTACATTTTTTAGATATTGAAGACTTACTTTTATATCAAACAATGTGCTCTTTGAGTGGCTCCGCTGGAATTTTGTGGATTATTTGTCAAGATCTACATCTCTTCCAAAATATTTTTGAGGATWTTAAGACCATTTTAAAGATTGAGGGGCTTAAAGGCATACTCGGTTATTCCTCCAGACGTACTTAAGAGAGCGATTTAGATAATGACACATTCATCAGCAAGTTTTAGATGTTAAAAGTTTAGCATTTGCTTCCTCAACTGTGTCCTCAGTTTTAATGGGATGAACTGGCTCCTTGAGGTAATTATGCTTGCACAAATCTTGGCTACTAACCAATATTTTCCAATCTAAAACAGTCGTCTTCGTTAAAATAGGTGATGTTGTTTTGGGTGCGAAGCTGCATACAGTAGGGGGTCCAAACAGCCGTGTGGTTTGCGTCAAAGTAGCACTCCCTGTTTGGATGCTTATACTCAGGGCATTCCTTCCATTCACTGCTGGGAGAACTGAAGAAGTGGAGGAGGCAAAAAAAAGAGTTATTGTGAAGAGTAAGCTCAATATATGCACACATAATGCAGTGCTGGGTTTATGCTCACTCTTTCTTCAGGTAAAAAACTCTGAGAGCTCCCGGAGCGGACAGGTTATGGAAGGTGCCTGGACTCCACCAGCAACGAAACGTCTCCTGTTCTGTTGATATGCACTCTGTGAAATGAGGCACGACGGGAGCTGAAAGTCAGACAGAGAGAAAAAATGAAAATATTAGGAAGAATACGAAGACAAGACTTTGAGCCGCATCGTTCAACCTTTTCATCAAATCCTGTTGGGGCTTAAATTGTTCAGCATTCAAATTGTGTAATACATCATTTTGATGACAGATTTAGCTCAGCAATCATTCAGAGAGTGAAAARGGATGCATAAGACTTTGAATAAAATGTTTTGTGTGATAACCTGGACATTACGTGTAAGTTTTTATATTAGAAGTAATTCAGTGCCCTTGCTTGCACATGTTCATCTTTCTTTTTAACTGAATGCATTTTGAACAAGCATTGCTACATATTTACAGTAATGGAGGGTGTAGCTTGCCTTTAGCATTTGAAAGGCATAAAGCAGGAAGAAACCTCTGTTACAAGGTAAGGATTACTTGCAGGGAAAACAAAGCTGTGCTAAACATGAATCCTTGCATAAACCTGTAGGAAGGCAAAAAAAAGCTGATTCACGAGTCGCATCAAGTTTCAGTCACCAACCCTTAGATCTATCCACACACAGCCCCCCGCCCCCCAAACGTCCTGACTCAGCCCTTTCTGACTCTCCCTTGGCACCTCGTCACTCCTCGCCAGCCCCTCCCCCCACCCCCTACTCCTTTCAGAGACGAGTTTCTAATCCAGCACAGCACAGGGTCCTGTAGTTTGGTGCAGCCATAAATAATCAGCTGAACGTATAATTGATTTCTGTTCCGCTCGCTCTGTTCTTTTCTTTTCACTTGCAGGCTGCGTTGTAAATCACAAACGAACCCAGAACCTGCTAGAGAAGAAGTTAATCCCAATTTTTTCCTCTCTTTTTTGTGTGTGTGTGTGTGGGGGGGGGATCCTCCGGAAAGAAAGCACCAATACTGCTAAATCTCAGTTTAAAGAATCCTCACTGAACATAGAAACACATAGTTTACCACTGTCACGACAAATCTCTGTAATCMAATCAATGATCCAATCATTTCTCCAACTTTCACTTCAACTTTTAGAATAAGCTCATAATTCTCTACTGCCCTACACAGAAGCACACCTTCCTCTCCTTCGTCTATGGCGTGATGTCGCGGTTCCTAGAGCTTTGYTTTTCAGCTCAGCCTCTCTTCCCCGTCCTCCAAATTACAGCCCCCATCAAAGTGGTTTCTGCAGGAGTATATATACTGTAGGAAATAGGACTAAAAGTAAAAGTGTTTACTGTATGTGCATTGCAGGGTTTGGAGTTTAAGTGCCTGACGACAGACAACTGTAGGTTCATGCAACTGAACTGTGCTTTTCTAACGAAAAAAAAAGAATTTCACATGTGAATACAATCAAAATTTACTATAAGTATTAACATTTTGACTGTTTAAACAAGTTTCGTGAGGCATTCATCGTACTGCTGTTGTTGTCATGTAGGTGAAGACAGTCCAAGGCAAACATGCTGAGTTTTGAAAGTTGACCTTCAAGAGGCCAAAGGCCAAAAGCTACTTTATGTTTTTCAAAACCCCATTTACATTCTTCAGCCCAGCTAACTGTTAGTCAGATGTGAAGTGTGTCCGGAGTGACATTTTGTGTGGAAACACCTGGAGAGGCTTACATACATTTCTAGTACTGTGTTTTAAAAATTAATTTTTCAAACTCCAGTTCTCCCCAAAACTGAAAGCCCAAACAAACTTTCACACCGATTTATCTCTTTTAGAGCATAAAACAGTAAGTTACGAAAGTTGGAACTATCCCAGGAGCCATGTTTAACAAGCAGTTGTTGTTAAACAAAATCTATACAACTTTTTTATGCAAAGCTGTACAAACTGTTGTTTTCATGCAGCAATAGTGGCCWATCACAGTTTCTGTTATAGGAAGGTAAATTCTGCTCTCTACTATTAAAGGATCTGCAGCTGAAAGCCTTTGGATGCACAACACAAATTTTGTGCATGAATGTGTGTGTGTGTGTGTGTGTGTGTGTGTGTGTGTGTGTGTGTGTGTGTGT